TCATTTCAGTGAGTTCTGTTGAGCAGAGACCTTTCATTCTTTTCCTTGGTCATTTCCAGGCATGGTAGGGGAAAGTTCGAGAAGGTGGATAGATAGTAGGAACCTTAAAACAGAAAGAGAACTGAAGTCTTTGAGGCTCACAGAAAGGAAGGACAGGTCATCTGAGTGTTCACAGGACTGAGGAGTGGAAGGGAGACTGTCCACCAGCTCTGCTCACAGCCCCGGATGAAGACAGCAGGGGTTGCAGCCTCCTCTGTAATCTCAAAATACAGGGAGAAAAGGCTTCATCAGCACATGTCAGAGAAAGGGAGAAGTATGGGCATCCCCACCCCTATAGCCTGAGAAAGACAAAAAACTTGACACTATTGAAAAATGAATCCAAACTTTAAAAAGAGCAAGCAAACTCCTTTCCTGCAGCACTTTTCAGAAACCTCCACAGGTTCTGCAGCACTTTTCAGAAACCTCTGCCTGTTCTGCAAAGAATCCCACCTTCTGCAGAACATCGACCCACATCTCTTGGCCACGGGACTCAGTTTGGGGAGGTTTTCATACGTTGCTTCTTGGGCATATTTTTTTCTAAATATAGTTAATATTGAAAACGGGGCTCTTATTTCTCAAATGGAAACCCCTGAGCAATCTGGAGCCCATGATGGGGTCTTAATTTTTGTTTTCACCTGTCCGGCAGGTAGAAGCACAGTAAGTGCCTTTAAGGTGTGTGACTGCAAGGAGGAAAAAGAAGCCTGGAGCCTCAACACAACTACCCCCTCCCACTCCCCCACTAAGAAGCTCTTCTCTGGGCCTCCATCACAGGGACCTGGCCTTTTGGTGTGGTTGTTTTGATGTGGCCATTTTGCAGTAGAGGACATTTTGACACAGTTGTTTTAATGCTATGGAAATTTTCTGACTTTTACAAACATCAGCCATTGAACATTCAGCTTTTGAAAAAATTAGCAAATATCAGTGCAGCATGGGGGCAGGGAGAGGGTGAGGGTCAGCATCATGGAGCAAACGGGAAGGATGCAGCTGTGGGAGGGGATCCATTTTTTCATTCACATTTCTTACAGAAAAAGTTGAGTTAAAAGTCATGGTTTCAATTTTAGGATCACAAAAAGCCCCAAGTTTAAAAATCCTGTCAGTAATCAAGACAGTGTGGTACTGGTGAAAGAATAGACAGATAGATCAATGGAAGAGAACAGAGAGCCTGGAGATAGACCCACATAAATATAGTTAACTGATCTTTGACAAAGGAGCAAAGGCAGTACAATGGAGCAAGATAATCTCTTCAAAAATGGTGCTGGAACAACTGGGCATCCACTTGCAAAAAAATGAATCTAGACACAGACCTTACACCTTTCACAAAAATTAACTCAAAGTGGATCATAGACCTAAATGTAAAATGCAAAACTATGAGACTCCCAGAAGATAAGATAGAAGAATGACCTTGGTGACCTTGGGCATTGCAATAACTTTTTAGATATGATCCATGAAAGAAATAAGTGAGAAACTGGACTTCATTAAAATTAAACTTCTGTTCTGCAAAAGGTGATGTCAAGAGAATGAGAATACAAGGCACAGACTAGGAGTAAATATTTGCAGAAGATACATCTGGTAAAAGAAATGGTCTCCAAAATATACAAAGAACTCTTAAAATCCACCAATAAGAAAACAACCTTATTAAAAAATGGGCCAAATGTCTTACAAGTATTTCATATGATCATATGTCATCAGGGAAATGCAAATTAAAACAATAATCAGATGCCACTATGCATCTATTAGAATGGCCAAAATCCAGAACACTGACAACACCAAATGCTGGCAAGGTTGTGGAGCAACAGGAATGCTCACTCATTGCTGGTGGGAATGCAAAATGGTACAGCCACTTTGGAAGACAGTTTGGAAGTTTCTCTTAAAACTCAACATACTCTTACCATATAATCCAGCAGTGGAGCCCCTTGGTATTTACCCAAAGGAGTTCCAAAATTTTTGTCCACACAAAAATCTTCACATGAATATTTATAGCAGCTTTATTCATACTTGCTAAGACTTGGAAGCAAGTGAGATGTCTTTCAATATGTGAATGGATAAATAAACTGGTATAATCCATCAATGTGGTACATCTAGACAATGGAATATTAATGCTAAAAATAAAGGAGTTATCCAGTCATGAAAAGACAAGGAGGAAACTTAAATGTGTATTACTAAATAAAAGAAATCCATCTGAAGGGGTACTGTGAGTTCAACTATATGACGTTCTGGAAAAGGCAAAACTATGGAGACAGGAAAAGGATCAGTGGATGTCAGAGATTAGAGGGGAGGGAGGGATGAACAGGGGGAGCCCAGAACATTTTTAGGATGATGAAGCTATTCTATGTGATACTGTAATGGTGGATATGTGTCATACATTTGTCTAAACCTACAGAATGTGCATCACCAAGAGCAAACCTGTGAACTTTGGGTGATGATGACATGTCAGTGTTGGTTCACTGATGGTAACAAGTGTACCACTCTGGTAGGGATGTTGATAGTGGGGGAGGTTGCCTAGCAACAGCAGATACATGGGAATCCTCTGTACCTTCCAAAACTGCCCTAAAAATAAAGTCTATTAGGGAAAAAAAGTCTGTCAGCTCATCGTGCTTTCTAGTTGTCATCACTGCTGCAAGGGTTCCCTGGCATTTAGCATGGCGGCCTCCCACCATCTGGGCTGTGGGGAGGTAGAGAGGGGTATAACGCTCTTAATTCACTGTGCTGCCTCCCTGGATGCGGAAGTGAGAGAAGAGACAGTGGCAGAGCTGAGGGTTTGGGTCCTGTGGTGGCCCAGCTAATCCCACCAGCTGCTTCCAGCCAGTGGATGCTCAACTGAGAGAACCCGCAGAGAAACCTGCTGTTTGCCCCGAAGCAGCGGCCGGTGATCTGTTGGAATGGAAACCGGACTGTGTGATTGACTGTATAAACCCCTCCAGTGGCTCTCCATCATGTCTGGCGTCCGACGAACACTGTGGAACCCCGCGTCCCCATGTGATCGGGCCCCTCCTGTTTCTCCGGCTACCCCTCACTCCTCTCTGTCCCCAGCATACTGGGCTTCTCCTCTTGGACATGTCAAACTCTCTCTGCCACCTGTTCCTTCTGCCGGGAGTGGTTACCCCAATCTTCACCTTTGTGGGAACTTGTGATTTGGATCTTATATGTCACATCCATATCACGTCCAGTGCAAAAGGCGTCCCTGTCTGACAGCACCAACATCCCTCTTACATGCCCTTTCCGTTAAAGGCACCCAAGTCCTTTGCCGCCTGCCCAGAGACTGTGACTCCCCCAGCCCTTTCATTCCCCCTGCTGCCGTGGGGAGAGGACTGGCCCCTCTGACAGCCACCTTCTAACTGGCCTTGCAGCCTCCCAGGGCTGTTCATGGCAAGTGAATTTTGTAAATGACTCCTTTCTCCTCATTCTTGTCCTCTGGTGGATTTTGTTGTTAACCACAAAACATGAGGAATTTAAAGAATCTACCAGTGGAGCAAAAGCTGACAGGCGTTCAGCCTCCTGGGGAGGGAGGAGGCCCTTTCAGGCACCTGTGCTCTCAAGGAGAGGGAGGGGCCCTGCCATGGGCCAGCCTCCTCCAAGTGTATCACAGGGAGAGCCATCTGCGGTAGACACGTTAGCTGCTGAAAGGGGGGTCACTACAGACCTACACTGATTATATATAGTGTATGCTGTTATTGACATTTAAATTTAAACTCGTTGCATTTAAATACAATTTTAAAAAATCAGTTTCTCAGTCAAACCAAACACAGTTTAAGTTTGGCTACATGTGGCTGGTGGCTGACTGAACAATGCAGATACAGAACATGCCCGTCATTGTAGAAAACTCTATTGGGTGATGGCACTCTAGATTCCTGGTCTTGTATGAGGTTTGTTTTTTCCATTAATACAGTCAAATGATGATTATTAAGTTCCTAGAATGTGTCTCTGGGCTGCAGTCATGGCCAAGACTGCACGGTCCCCATCCTTATAAGTTAGTGGGCCAAGAAGAGTCCTTACAGATTTTATTCCTTGGGATTTTGCTCTGGGACTCCTTGCACTTGTGTCAATCAGACCCTCTCCACCAAATTAGCGTCAACCCCTCTGAGACACTTCGCACTTCCCAAGTTAAGGCCTGAATCAATGAAGAGTAGAAACCTAGCATCATCCTCTTTCAAAGACCCCACTGCACTTCTGTGATGTGACTTTCCCAGTAGGTACGGAAGGCTCGGGAGGGAGAAGCAAGTTGTGATCTAGTTTCAAAGATGGGAACCTGGGAAGTAGAGGGCTGATGCCAAACCCATTTATTCTCTGCCAGAGACTGTTAGACACTTGAATGTGGGAGTGGACAAGAGCAAAAGCAGACTTGGCACTCGCCTTCGCCCCTGTAACTTGGGTCTTTTCTCTGTTGTAGACAGGAGGTCATGGACTGCAGCTTCCATTCCACGATTATTCCCTAAACACCCTCAGCCCCAGCATAGCACAGGGCTCTGGAACCTAGAGGAGATGCACACGTTGCCCCATGCTCTAGACCTCACCCTCCGCAGGGCAAGAATGCAGAGAGAGAACACCCATTGTCAAGGGAACCTGCACCCTCTTGCAATCACCCAGCTCTGAATTCCATCTGCCGAAAACAAAAGAATGGGGTGTTCCCTCCAAGGACGAACCTCAACTGGTGACAGCAAAAAGAATCAATTTGTCCCAGGCTCCTTTGAGAAATTGCAGGTTCTCTTGATAACCTCCTTGCACCTTCCTGTCCCCTGGCTCCTCACACCTCCAGTCTGTGCCACGGGAGAGGAGACTCAGAGTCAAAGCAGCCCTTCCAGCCATGGTACTACCTAAGCTTCCTCACCTCACCTGGAGCCCTGGGCCACGGCGGGCCACACGGCGCAGGGGACCTTCCCACAATGGCGCGCTTCCTCCTCCACTCCCCTGCCTCCTGCCAGCTCTCCCCCACCATTCGGGGGGCCAGAGTGGGGCACCCTTACCTGGTGAAGAAACAGCCTGAGTCAAGAAGAGGTAGGAAGCTCAGCATCCTCTGCGTCCAGGGCTCCTGCTCCAATACTGCCTGTCTCAGCCTCCTGAAAGCTCTCTCAGGTCACAATCAAACCCAGGCAGGCACAAATTCACTGCTCTCCATGTCCAAAAACAGACAGAAATAAGGGGGCATTCTCTCCCAGCCGCTGCCACTTCCTTTCCTGTCAGTAATTTTCAGTTTGGAGGGAGAAGTGAAAGGCCAGAGCAGCATTTTGCTGATTTTCAGCCATATACCATTCAACCAATGTGGGACGAGGTCAGGGAATTCACAGCTCCCACCTGGCTGCTGAATCACCCACCACTTTCGTTCTGACTGCTCGTGCTCTGTTTCTTCATCAGAGCTGTTTGTCAGCCTTTCCCATTTAGGTAATAAATCCAGCTGCATCTTCTGCATCGCTTTGTTCTGTAGGAATTGACAGGAAATGATGGGCCATGTGCCTGGGGAGGGCCACTCTGTAGAAAAGTCCCACTGAGCCTGCAGGATGATAAATACCCAGAAGGAAAATCAGTGTCCACTGGAGTGTAGTCATGATTTTTCCCTGGGGCAAATATAAACAGAGATATTTGTTATAATGATGACAAGGAGTCAACTCCGGTCTTTTCTCTGTTACAGATGGTAAAGGTTGTGGACTGCAGCTTCTATTCCACGATTATTCCCTAAATGTCCCTAACTGGCCAGGCATGGTATCTGACTCTAGGACCCAGATGGGTGCAATTATGTCAGAGTGGAAGGACCTGTCTTCGCGGCCAGGAGGACTTCATATGTGAGCTTCAGTAAAGGCATAACATTTTATACGTTCCAACTTCTTCAAAACTTCATGTGAACACCTATGATTAATAAGGTGAAACATCTTATCAGTATTAATGTATCTGATGTAGAGTGCTCATGTTAAAATAAAATTTTGTATGTGACCCCAATTTTGAGGCATTTGTGGCCTTCCAACACTGCCTATGTTCCTAGATATGTGTCAAATACATGATTTTTTAGAGTAGTACCGGTCAATAGAACTTGCAGATGTGATGGGCATGGTCTAGATCTGCGCTGTCTGCATAGGACCCTGAGTTATCTGTGGTTAGGAAGCATTCGAAATGTGGCTGGTGTGACTAAGGAAGGAGTTACATTGTAGATATTTAAATTTTCCTAGGCATAATTTAAATCATGTAATTGTTTAAGTTTTTGTAGTGACTACTAGCCACTCTTTTGGATGGCATAGCTCTGTGGGTCTGAGTACATCTGTCAAGGCAAAAGGCTTTGTGATGGACAGCTCTGGGGGTGATCACCCCATACAGGCCTGTTCAGACACCACCACCCAAAGGAACCTTATAAACGCACACCATTAACGAGCCTGACAAAGCTGACTGCTGTGGAGGCGGCTCCCCACTTCCCCATGCCCTGTGAGCGCTGTGCTGTCTAGGAAAAGATATTGTTCTTAGATTATCAGTCTGACCATATGTCTTCAGAGAAGATTATTTTCCCTTAGCCCAGCAGTTCTCAGCTTTTCTTTTCTGGTTGTAAATAATCAACTCGGTTGATTTCTAGAAGCTGCAGCTGGTGACTCTCCACCCCCAACCCTCCCGGGTCACCCCACCAGTGACAACACAGGTAGTGGTGGCCTGGCTTCCTTTCTGGTGTTTTTACTGGGTGATTGCCTGCTCAGAACACGTAGGAGCCTTGCCCTCATCCAAGCCAGTCCTCTCCCCAGACACAGAGCTGGAGGCGCTGCCTTCTCCTGGAGCCCTTCACTGTGAGTACCCCCTTCCTCCTCCTCCCCTGTCCCAGTGTCACCTGTACCCTCATCTGTGTGCTGCCGTGATGGTTCTAAAACTCAGGCTTGCACTTATTTGTGCAATGGTCATGAGCACCAGGCACTTTATTAGAAGCTTCCAGGGAGGCAAAGGTGAATCAAGGCTGCCCTGCCCAGGCTTCTAGGGTGAGTAATAAGACTCCTTCCACCCACACATATGAAGTGTAGGTGCAATGCAGTCTGTTCCATGGCTGAGACCTTAAAGAAGGTAACAAAAAGGTGGCCAGAGATGAGGAAAGTGAAGCCACCCTAAAACCTTAGGTCTGAGATTGCCCTATGGAAAGGATGTTTTGACAGCGTTCTTTGTAGCAGTGAAAAACTGGAAACAAGGACACTTTGCACCAAGAAGTGTTGGGTTAAATGAACTTTGGCATATCCACACACTGGAACGCTTGGCAGCCAACCACTCTGACGGCACAGGCCCAGCTCCACGATGAATTGCATTAAGAGTGGTCAATGAAAGACCGTTAACTAGGAAGCAAGATAGAGAATTGTTTGTGTGGTCTGATTCATTACCATCTAGAGAGTGTGTGTGTGTGTGTGTGTGTGTGATGTGTGATGTGTGAGGTTGTGTTACAGAGAAGTCTAAAAAGATGTATTTCAGAAAGTTAACAATGGCTAACCTGGGAAAGTGGTGTTGGAGGAGTTTGTTTTCTTCATTATATATGCTTGCTTTCTGGGGATTTTTTTTTTTTTTGGTTCATTGTGAAAACACTCCTTTATAATCAGAGAAAAGCAAAGCTATGTTAAATAATTCATCATTGGACACTGTGTTGTCCCTTTAAACACATCCACTGCTTTAGTTCTTAATTAACTGTTGCTCCATAAAAGACAAAATGGAAATGTGCCCAGCAACTAGGCTGAGAGCTTGTCTCCTCCCACGCTTTGCTGAACAAATCACAATTAATCTGCCATTTCAGCCCTGGAATTTGGCAGCCTCTCTCTTCCAATCTCTGCCTATCTGCTCTGAAGCCCCCTTGCATGCACCCCACTCACGAACTCACACCGGGAGCCCCTGAGCCCAGCACAGTGCCTACTGGGGGTGCAATTTTGTCCACACAAAAATCTTCACATGAATATTTATAGCAGCTTTATTCATACTTGCTAAGACTTGGAAGCAAGTGAGATGTCTTTCAATATGTGAATGGATAAATAAACTGGTATAATCCATCAATGTGGTACATCTAGACAATGGAATATTAATGCTAAAAATAAAGGAGTTATCCAGTCATGAAAAGACAAGGAGGAAACTTAAATGTGTATTACTAAATAAAAGAAATCCATCTGAAGGGGTACTGTGAGTTCAACTATATGACGTTCTGGAAAAGGCAAAACTATGGAGACAGGAAAAGGATCAGTGGATGTCAGAGATTAGAGGGGAGGGAGGGATGAACAGGGGGAGCCCAGAACATTTTTAGGATGATGAAGCTATTCTATGTGATACTGTAATGGTGGATATGTGTCATACATTTGTCTAAACCTACAGAATGTGCATCACCAAGAGCAAACCTGTGAACTTTGGGTGATGATGACATGTCAGTGTTGGTTCACTGATGGTAACAAGTGTACCACTCTGGTAGGGATGTTGATAGTGGGGGAGGTTGCCTAGCAACAGCAGATACATGGGAATCCTCTGTACCTTCCAAAACTGCCCTAAAAATAAAGTCTATTAGGGAAAAAAAGTCTGTCAGCTCATCGTGCTTTCTAGTTGTCATCACTGCTGCAAGGGTTCCCTGGCATTTAGCATGGCGGCCTCCCACCATCTGGGCTGTGGGGAGGTAGAGAGGGGTATAACGCTCTTAATTCACTGTGCTGCCTCCCTGGATGCGGAAGTGAGAGAAGAGACAGTGGCAGAGCTGAGGGTTTGGGTCCTGTGGTGGCCCAGCTAATCCCACCAGCTGCTTCCAGCCAGTGGATGCTCAACTGAGAGAACCCGCAGAGAAACCTGCTGTTTGCCCCGAAGCAGCGGCCGGTGATCTGTTGGAATGGAAACCGGACTGTGTGATTGACTGTATAAACCCCTCCAGTGGCTCTCCATCATGTCTGGCGTCCGACGAACACTGTGGAACCCCGCGTCCCCATGTGATCGGGCCCCTCCTGTTTCTCCGGCTACCCCTCACTCCTCTCTGTCCCCAGCATACTGGGCTTCTCCTCTTGGACATGTCAAACTCTCTCTGCCACCTGTTCCTTCTGCCGGGAGTGGTTACCCCAATCTTCACCTTTGTGGGAACTTGTGATTTGGATCTTATATGTCACATCCATATCACGTCCAGTGCAAAAGGCGTCCCTGTCTGACAGCACCAACATCCCTCTTACATGCCCTTTCCGTTAAAGGCACCCAAGTCCTTTGCCGCCTGCCCAGAGACTGTGACTCCCCCAGCCCTTTCATTCCCCCTGCTGCCGTGGGGAGAGGACTGGCCCCTCTGACAGCCACCTTCTAACTGGCCTTGCAGCCTCCCAGGGCTGTTCATGGCAAGTGAATTTTGTAAATGACTCCTTTCTCCTCATTCTTGTCCTCTGGTGGATTTTGTTGTTAACCACAAAACATGAGGAATTTAAAGAATCTACCAGTGGAGCAAAAGCTGACAGGCGTTCAGCCTCCTGGGGAGGGAGGAGGCCCTTTCAGGCACCTGTGCTCTCAAGGAGAGGGAGGGGCCCTGCCATGGGCCAGCCTCCTCCAAGTGTATCACAGGGAGAGCCATCTGCGGTAGACACGTTAGCTGCTGAAAGGGGGGTCACTACAGACCTACACTGATTATATATAGTGTATGCTGTTATTGACATTTAAATTTAAACTCGTTGCATTTAAATACAATTTTAAAAAATCAGTTTCTCAGTCAAACCAAACACAGTTTAAGTTTGGCTACATGTGGCTGGTGGCTGACTGAACAATGCAGATACAGAACATGCCCGTCATTGTAGAAAACTCTATTGGGTGATGGCACTCTAGATTCCTGGTCTTGTATGAGGTTTGTTTTTTCCATTAATACAGTCAAATGATGATTATTAAGTTCCTAGAATGTGTCTCTGGGCTGCAGTCATGGCCAAGACTGCACGGTCCCCATCCTTATAAGTTAGTGGGCCAAGAAGAGTCCTTACAGATTTTATTCCTTGGGATTTTGCTCTGGGACTCCTTGCACTTGTGTCAATCAGACCCTCTCCACCAAATTAGCGTCAACCCCTCTGAGACACTTCGCACTTCCCAAGTTAAGGCCTGAATCAATGAAGAGTAGAAACCTAGCATCATCCTCTTTCAAAGACCCCACTGCACTTCTGTGATGTGACTTTCCCAGTAGGTACGGAAGGCTCGGGAGGGAGAAGCAAGTTGTGATCTAGTTTCAAAGATGGGAACCTGGGAAGTAGAGGGCTGATGCCAAACCCATTTATTCTCTGCCAGAGACTGTTAGACACTTGAATGTGGGAGTGGACAAGAGCAAAAGCAGACTTGGCACTCGCCTTCGCCCCTGTAACTTGGGTCTTTTCTCTGTTGTAGACAGGAGGTCATGGACTGCAGCTTCCATTCCACGATTATTCCCTAAACACCCTCAGCCCCAGCATAGCACAGGGCTCTGGAACCTAGAGGAGATGCACACGTTGCCCCATGCTCTAGACCTCACCCTCCGCAGGGCAAGAATGCAGAGAGAGAACACCCATTGTCAAGGGAACCTGCACCCTCTTGCAATCACCCAGCTCTGAATTCCATCTGCCGAAAACAAAAGAATGGGGTGTTCCCTCCAAGGACGAACCTCAACTGGTGACAGCAAAAAGAATCAATTTGTCCCAGGCTCCTTTGAGAAATTGCAGGTTCTCTTGATAACCTCCTTGCACCTTCCTGTCCCCTGGCTCCTCACACCTCCAGTCTGTGCCACGGGAGAGGAGACTCAGAGTCAAAGCAGCCCTTCCAGCCATGGTACTACCTAAGCTTCCTCACCTCACCTGGAGCCCTGGGCCACGGCGGGCCACACGGCGCAGGGGACCTTCCCACAATGGCGCGCTTCCTCCTCCACTCCCCTGCCTCCTGCCAGCTCTCCCCCACCATTCGGGGGGCCAGAGTGGGGCACCCTTACCTGGTGAAGAAACAGCCTGAGTCAAGAAGAGGTAGGAAGCTCAGCATCCTCTGCGTCCAGGGCTCCTGCTCCAATACTGCCTGTCTCAGCCTCCTGAAAGCTCTCTCAGGTCACAATCAAACCCAGGCAGGCACAAATTCACTGCTCTCCATGTCCAAAAACAGACAGAAATAAGGGGGCATTCTCTCCCAGCCGCTGCCACTTCCTTTCCTGTCAGTAATTTTCAGTTTGGAGGGAGAAGTGAAAGGCCAGAGCAGCATTTTGCTGATTTTCAGCCATATACCATTCAACCAATGTGGGACGAGGTCAGGGAATTCACAGCTCCCACCTGGCTGCTGAATCACCCACCACTTTCGTTCTGACTGCTCGTGCTCTGTTTCTTCATCAGAGCTGTTTGTCAGCCTTTCCCATTTAGGTAATAAATCCAGCTGCATCTTCTGCATCGCTTTGTTCTGTAGGAATTGACAGGAAATGATGGGCCATGTGCCTGGGGAGGGCCACTCTGTAGAAAAGTCCCACTGAGCCTGCAGGATGATAAATACCCAGAAGGAAAATCAGTGTCCACTGGAGTGTAGTCATGATTTTTCCCTGGGGCAAATATAAACAGAGATATTTGTTATAATGATGACAAGGAGTCAACTCCGGTCTTTTCTCTGTTACAGATGGTAAAGGTTGTGGACTGCAGCTTCTATTCCACGATTATTCCCTAAATGTCCCTAACTGGCCAGGCATGGTATCTGACTCTAGGACCCAGATGGGTGCAATTATGTCAGAGTGGAAGGACCTGTCTTCGCGGCCAGGAGGACTTCATATGTGAGCTTCAGTAAAGGCATAACATTTTATACGTTCCAACTTCTTCAAAACTTCATGTGAACACCTATGATTAATAAGGTGAAACATCTTATCAGTATTAATGTATCTGATGTAGAGTGCTCATGTTAAAATAAAATTTTGTATGTGACCCCAATTTTGAGGCATTTGTGGCCTTCCAACACTGCCTATGTTCCTAGATATGTGTCAAATACATGATTTTTTAGAGTAGTACCGGTCAATAGAACTTGCAGATGTGATGGGCATGGTCTAGATCTGCGCTGTCTGCATAGGACCCTGAGTTATCTGTGGTTAGGAAGCATTCGAAATGTGGCTGGTGTGACTAAGGAAGGAGTTACATTGTAGATATTTAAATTTTCCTAGGCATAATTTAAATCATGTAATTGTTTAAGTTTTTGTAGTGACTACTAGCCACTCTTTTGGATGGCATAGCTCTGTGGGTCTGAGTACATCTGTCAAGGCAAAAGGCTTTGTGATGGACAGCTCTGGGGGTGATCACCCCATACAGGCCTGTTCAGACACCACCACCCAAAGGAACCTTATAAACGCACACCATTAACGAGCCTGACAAAGCTGACTGCTGTGGAGGCGGCTCCCCACTTCCCCATGCCCTGTGAGCGCTGTGCTGTCTAGGAAAAGATATTGTTCTTAGATTATCAGTCTGACCATATGTCTTCAGAGAAGATTATTTTCCCTTAGCCCAGCAGTTCTCAGCTTTTCTTTTCTGGTTGTAAATAATCAACTCGGTTGATTTCTAGAAGCTGCAGCTGGTGACTCTCCACCCCCAACCCTCCCGGGTCACCCCACCAGTGACAACACAGGTAGTGGTGGCCTGGCTTCCTTTCTGGTGTTTTTACTGGGTGATTGCCTGCTCAGAACACGTAGGAGCCTTGCCCTCATCCAAGCCAGTCCTCTCCCCAGACACAGAGCTGGAGGCGCTGCCTTCTCCTGGAGCCCTTCACTGTGAGTACCCCCTTCCTCCTCCTCCCCTGTCCCAGTGTCACCTGTACCCTCATCTGTGTGCTGCCGTGATGGTTCTAAAACTCAGGCTTGCACTTATTTGTGCAATGGTCATGAGCACCAGGCACTTTATTAGAAGCTTCCAGGGAGGCAAAGGTGAATCAAGGCTGCCCTGCCCAGGCTTCTAGGGTGAGTAATAAGACTCCTTCCACCCACACATATGAAGTGTAGGTGCAATGCAGTCTGTTCCATGGCTGAGACCTTAAAGAAGGTAACAAAAAGGTGGCCAGAGATGAGGAAAGTGAAGCCACCCTAAAACCTTAGGTCTGAGATTGCCCTATGGAAAGGATGTTTTGACAGCGTTCTTTGTAGCAGTGAAAAACTGGAAACAAGGACACTTTGCACCAAGAAGTGTTGGGTTAAATGAACTTTGGCATATCCACACACTGGAACGCTTGGCAGCCAACCACTCTGACGGCACAGGCCCAGCTCCACGATGAATTGCATTAAGAGTGGTCAATGAAAGACCGTTAACTAGGAAGCAAGATAGAGAATTGTTTGTGTGGTCTGATTCATTACCATCTAGAGAGTGTGTGTGTGTGTGTGTGTGTGTGATGTGTGATGTGTGAGGTTGTGTTACAGAGAAGTCTAAAAAGATGTATTTCAGAAAGTTAACAATGGCTAACCTGGGAAAGTGGTGTTGGAGGAGTTTGTTTTCTTCATTATATATGCTTGCTTTCTGGGGATTTTTTTTTTTTTTGGTTCATTGTGAAAACACTCCTTTATAATCAGAGAAAAGCAAAGCTATGTTAAATAATTCATCATTGGACACTGTGTTGTCCCTTTAAACACATCCACTGCTTTAGTTCTTAATTAACTGTTGCTCCATAAAAGACAAAATGGAAATGTGCCCAGCAACTAGGCTGAGAGCTTGTCTCCTCCCACGCTTTGCTGAACAAATCACAATTAATCTGCCATTTCAGCCCTGGAATTTGGCAGCCTCTCTCTTCCAATCTCTGCCTATCTGCTCTGAAGCCCCCTTGCATGCACCCCACTCACGAACTCACACCGGGAGCCCCTGAGTCCAGCACAGTGCCTACTGGGGGTGCAGTGTGGGCGCCTGCCCCAGCTTTGTGAGCAGGTGGTCTGGTAAACAGAGCCCCCGCTTCCCTGCAGGGTGAGAAAAGACGAGCTACAAAAGAGGCAAGAGATGATTCACTTTCCATGTAGCAAATTGGACAGAGATCAAAGTAAGGCCCCTGGTTCCTCATGTTAGCATCTGTATCCAATCCACTGGGCTACTATGAGCAGCAGAGACTGTGGACTTGGGGAGTTGTCCATGCTGATTTTCATGTAGCAGAGAATAGAAAAATAATGATTGGATAGTAGCAGATTCCAAGCTCACTTTTCTGACAGGCATTTTCTACTTTTTGAGAATTAGCAGCTCTCTACTTTTCCTTTACTTCCAAGGCCCTGTATGCACCTTGAGCTTTCTGCCCTTGTCAGTGTTTTCCTGACCTGGAGAAGTGTTCTTGCCCTTTATTACATGTCCTCATGTTCTCCACACTTCAGGAAACCTGCAAAAATCTCACCTCCTCAATGAAGCCCTCCTAGGTTTCCGCAGAGCTGGAGATGTGACTTCCTTCTCCCAATTCTCAAGACATTTCATAGTGTTTACCACTGTTGGTGTTTGACACATCCACTGTGCTTGAATTTGAGCTTCTTGGGGACATGATCATGTCTTCTGCCATCTTTAAGCCAAGCAAGCATACCAGGTGTCAAGGCACTCAGGATAAATGAGCTGTTGGGTGAAGAATGTTCCCCTCTTCTCACACAGCTGTCTGCATCTGCAAAGAACAGTGCACTGTACTTGGCCCTTGCAGTAAGTCCTGGCCAGAGCCTGGGCTCTCCCCTGCATTTTACAGACAAAACCTAGGTTCAGGGAGGGCACGCCACTCTTGCTGAGGTCTCACAGGCAGAAGAGAATGGACCAAGGGGAAGATGAGGCTTTCAAATGGGGTCCATTGTGCTTGTTCCCACCTCACCCCTACTGCGCTGCAAAACCTGGGTGGGCTTTTCAGATCTGGGCAGATGCAGCTCCCCTAATAGGGTCACACTGAGCAGCGAGGGGGGAGGTTTGGGCGGCACGGAACCGAGCTCCGGTGTACTTGGGCAGGCCATTGAGAGGTGACTTGCTTCAGTATGTCTTGTCATATGTGGGTTCCCCCCTCCGCCCTGTTTTCCCCTCCTCAGGGGAAGAAGAAAATGAAAGCAAGCTCTGAGACTTTGCAGTATGTGTAATAAAACAATTGAAAAGTATTCTGACAGAGGGTAGGGAGAATAGACGGAAAAGCTGTCTGTGGGGTCTTTAGATGGTGGGTCTCGGGAGTAGTAGGTGGGTTGAGGGGGTTTCAATTTTACTCTTTAGTTCCCTTCAATTTTCCTGTGAACCAGAAACATACTTATAATAGAAGGAAGATAAACTTTTATAAAAAGCTAGTATAGATTTCACAATTGCAAAAAGTAGCCTCAGCGAATTTAATGACTAGATGCGTCCCCCAGTCTGAGCGGCTCTCCGGACCAGCCACGGTGCCATGACCCTCCTTGGGACGCGTTTCACAAACAGGTGTATGGACCGGAAAGCGTTGGGGCAACTTTTTTTTTTTTTTAAAGCTGACAAGTTATTTTTATGGTAGATCTTAAAATAAAATTTCATGCACAAAGTAAGATATTTAAATCATTTACAAAATCTAAAGGAAAAAATGAAAGTCTCACTTTTCACTGGTCATCATTGTTCAGCCTCCTTCTAGAAAAATATTTCAATACTGATCAGCAGGGAAGTATATAACCTTCTATGTGTTTTCTAAGAGGTCATACAGCGATGTCTTTGATGCCTTTTATTTTTACCTAGTAATCTTGGTGACCTCTTGTATAGTGTGAAGTCTATTTTATTGGCTACATGCGGTTTGTTGGATGGATATATCAGAATACTACCAATTGCTGGATATTCGGGCTCTTCACAAAACAAATGCTGCCATATACACCCCTTTTCATGAATCTTAATGTTTTTTTTGTGAGATACCTGGAGGGCCTGTTCCCAGCAGATGAACCACTGAGGTAGAGGTATTCTAACTTACACATTTTGGCAGATATAGCTTAAGCCTCTGGTCATACAAATTTACACTCCGCATGGCAGTGTGGAGGCCTTTTCCCCCAAACTCTTACCAATATCGTTATCACCAATCCCTATGTTCAATCTAAAACCAGCTATAACTAACCATAGCAAAAGTCATTATTTCTTCTTTATGTGGTTTTTTTCTTTGGGAATTTGTTTTCTCAGATATTATCTGAATCATATTCAGTCTCTTCATGCAAGTAAAAAGGAAGGGACATTAGCCATGGGTATTAGAAATACACAAAGTATTTTCTAACTAATATCTCAAAACCAATCTCTCTATTCCTCAAACTACAATAAGCTTAAATTAGCTGGGTTGGGATCTTCTAAACCTAACTAGCATGTTTAAAAAAAAGATTAATTTTTTTAGAACAAAATTCAGAAAAAAAATAATGAGGGAATTATTAAGTTAATGGGGTGATATGTAATTTTAAGGGAGATCATTTGAGATGAGGTAAATATCCTATTCATCATCAAACATTCACCCACTAATTTCAGTATCCACTGGTGACTTTCTAATTTCATTATTCCTTCTATATTAGTTGGTATCATAAGAAGAACTTTCTCTTCTCCTCATTTATTTATTTATTCATTTATTTTCACCACTGTGGATTCATGGATCTTTGTTTACTTGTATGGGCAATAATCACTGCTGCCATTATTCACTTTGACACTGACATCGCCTCAAACCTGGCTGGGGCAGCCCTGTCAGGTTGCCTCCTGGGTACTTTTGACAAATCCTCATACTCCTCTGAACACTCTGCTTTCTGGTGCAGAAAGCAGGTTCAGGTTCACCTTGCAGTTTCCCTGGCCCAGCTCTGGAATCAGACGTTTCTCCAAAGAGCCCTGGTTCCTTTTGGTGGAGAAAGGTAATTAGAAGCCACCATTTGGGCTCATTCTACTCTGTGTTAATTGCTTTTAGGCCCTTTCAGTGGACAGAACCAGGACATATGTATGTGAAATACAAACAAAAAACCCACAAATTATCGCAATCTAATCTAATCTAATCTAATCTAATCTAATCTAATCTAATCCAGTCTAATCTAATTTTTAAGAACATGAGTTCATACATACTGAGCCCTCAATTCCAACAGAGCAGCAGAAGGCGCCCCAGGGCACTTTGGAGAAGCTGATGGAAGGGAAGTTCCCCGGAGGCCATTTCGGCTGCCCCTGTTGCCCACTAGCAGCCAGATAGGACTCTGAGGAGAGAGGAGAACCAGGTTTTCATCAGCTCTTGCTGTTTTTCCTTCCTTCATTTTAACACTTTTACCAACTATAGTAGACTGCAAATATTTTAAGTGCAGAATAGAATATAAGTTCTGACATGTGCATACAGCAAATATATTTATCTCCCCCAAGGCCTCACGTGCCTTTGCCCCTCCTGCTGTTTGCCCTGCCCTGCCCTCCCCTTCTGTTTCTTACCAGGAAACCACTGGTCTGCTTTCTGTCACTATAGATTAGTTCGCATTTTCTAGAATTTTATATGAGTGAAATCACACAGTATGTGCTTTTTCTTAGGTCTGCCTTCTTAGCATCATCGCCTATTTGCTGCATGCCATTCACCCTTATTCCGTTGCATGGATATTCCAGGGTTTGCTTATCTCTTCACTATATTGATGGGTAGTTTGGGTTGTTTCCAGTACTTGGCTATCACAAATGAAGTGGCTGTGAACATTCATGAATCGATTTTGTGTGGACATACGCCTGCATTTTTCTTAGGTACATACTTAGGAGTGGGATGGTATGTAACATGGTGCATGTATATTTAACCTTTTAAGAAACTGACAAACATCTTTCCAAGATGGCTGGACCATACATTATGTATTGAAAACCACTGTACTTTCAGAAAAGCAGGGCGCATCACGATGTTGTGGTATGGAAAGGAAACCAACAGGTTAGGGCTGGATCTATGACGGAGAATATTGTCTTCTAGACCCTTGGGATGTGGTGCTGGACACATTTCTTTGAAATACATTCAATAAAGATGCCTTCCTTGAAGAGAGTCAAGCTGTCATTCCCTTTGTCATATACGAGTGGGTTTTACAGAGATACGAAATACATGAGAACAGCAGCTGAGATTTATCTCAGCTCAGAGGCTCATTGCATTAGAAAACTACCTTTTCATGGGTAAACAACACTAGGACTTCCTTTTACTGCAGGAGTCAAGGTACAGAAAAAATAGAGCCCACTTTCCTGCCCTGAGGTTGGCAACAGAGAGTGCAGGTGTGTGCTGGGGAGTTGGGCCCTGCCCCGTGCTGGCAGCCACCCTTAAGTCCTTGCCAGCTGGCTCCCCACCACCCCGTTCTCAAGCCAGCCATTGTCATCTTCAGGAGTCTCTTGTTTCATAAATGGGGGAGGGGGGACATTCAGCAAAACAAGACGCTGATGGAGACGCTGAGCCAAAAGGAAACGAATTAATGGAAAAAGGATGTGTTGGGAAAATGTTAGAGTCCCAAAGGCTCTCAGAGGAGAGGTTTCTCTCATTTCTATGTTAACCAAGATTATTCTGTAATCTAGAATATTTAAATTGACATCAGTATAACATGGAATGTATCTCTTGCTTGGGAATTTTTTTTTCCACAGGAATAAACAGATTTAACCTCCACCTGCAGGTATTTGTTACTGTTCCTTTACAAGCCAGTCCTCTTTTTGATTTTTGCCCTCTTGTTCTAGAAGCGAGCGTGCATCTGACCCACCATGGTCCCCACAGAATCCACAGTGAGTAGAGCCATGTTCCTTGGGCTCCTTGAAATGAGCTCTCATCTCAGCTCTTTTTGGGGTGTGTGGGAAGGCATCCATTGTTGGGAAGGATTTCTCTGTGTGATTTCCCCCCGGGGTAAGATCTCTGCCGAGCAATGCCCCATGCAGGTAGGTGGTCAGTGCCCAGCACGGAGGGCCTTGCAAACATGAAGGGCCAGAAGAGCTTTGAGATGTGTTATGAAGACAGAGGAAAACACTACTGTAGATTTTATTAATAGGAAAGAGCTTTTATGATCTTTTACTAGGATGTGCTTACTTCCATGAGTCTGTCCTGAAATTCAGACATAAAAGGACAAGAGAGAATCCATTTAACTCGTTTGTAAAAGACCCATGTTGGGCACTTTAGTTATGTTTCTTACATGACATTACATGGGCCTTGCAAAAATCACATGATAGTATATATTTCTCAGGAAGAAACAAAGAGGCTAACAAAAATGAGTGAGCCAAGTCATTATCCAGAGAATCAATGATGGTTTTATAGCCAAATGTAATCTATAGAATCAAATCAAATTCTAATGCTTTTATTATATTCATAAATGCCTCACACAAATATCGAAGGGTTTTCAGTTTGCTTTTCTCAAAGGTCTGGGTCTTACATGCAGGTAGTTGAAATCAGGCCTTCTTAGTGGAGCTCACAGACTGCCCCCCGCAGCCCACTGGGGGTTCCATGGTCTGCGGAGAGCGGTGGCTGCCATGGTTAGTGCAGAATAAGCAATGACGCTTAGTACTGCACATGTGTTCTTACATATCTGTCACAACAAAAGAAGACAATTCATTTGGATCTGATGAAGTAATGAGGTAAGTCTCCATTTTTTTTTGTTTTTTTTAAAAACAGAATTAGACCTTCAGTCTCTCCTGTAGTTAGTTTCACTTTTCATCCCGAAAGTGGTGAAAACAGAGCTGCGCTGGGGACACAGAGCCAAGCCTGCTTCTGAGACTCAGTCATTCCGTTTTCTCCTTTAGGATCTTGGAAAATACTCCAACTCTGCAGGGAGCCCCAGAAAGAAAGAAAAATGTACCCAGTAAGGACCTTCTGTAGTCAGATGCATCCAGCACCACCTGAGTGGGGAAAGTCAGGAACTCTGAGGCCCTGGTTCCCACGGTGTTTGGGAAATAGTCACGACGGCCCTTTGGCCACTTCTCCAAAGACACGTTGTGCCCTGGTGACCGCCCGAGATGTCACATTCCTTCAGCCTCATAGTAAAGACAGAGCCATGTTTATAGATGGGGAAACAGGCTGGGGGAGTGGGATATTGGTTCAGGTTCTCACAGCGAACCGGAGGGGGCGCCCTGGAGGGTGCTCTCGGCCCTCACGGCCTCACTGGGTTGCTTCCTGTGGCCACATGTCAAAAGCACCGAGATCCCCCGTCTCACGGCTTGGGAGTCCTACTTCCTCAAGTGTGGGCGGAGTGCCCGGCTGCCGCTGCCTGCCAGCCCTCCCTGCCCCCCTCCGTCTTTCCTCTGATCCTGTCTCCCAGCCCCGCTGTCCGCCTTGGTGCTGAGGAGCAGTGGGGGACACACAGCCTTGGAGGACATGGTCTTGGCCGGGTGGGAATGAGGGGCGTGGAGCCGGCGGGGGGTTTGCAGAGAAAGCATGAGCCAGCGAGGGAGGCCCTGGAAAGCTCTGGGGACCTTCTTCCTGCTTTAGTAGCTGTGCAGCCCTCAGCATTTGGGTCGCTGCCTCTGAGCCCGAGGCTCCTGAGGGGAGGAGGACACCCCTGCCCGAGCTGGGGAGCCAGGGCCTGAGGTGAGGGCCCTGCCAGGGGTGCAGGCAGGCGGGGCAGGACCCTGCCCCCAGCAAGGGGCTGCTCCCGGTCACTTTGGACTGAGGGGGCCCCAGGCATCCTCCAGTGCTTCACAGTCTTTCAGGGGGTGGGGGGAGAGGGCCCGACGGCCACTCTAGCTGGGCTCCCCGAGTTCCAACTCAGGTGCCTGCCGCCCTGACGCTGCGGCTCAGATTTGTCACGGCCACTTTGACAACATGAGGACATGCAGAGCAGAGTTTTGAGTCAGGCGAGATTCAAGGTGCCCAGCGTGGGACCGAGGACAGTCAGAGGCCGGCTGCGGTCTGGACCCCTCCCCCGTGGCTGCGGGCTCTGGGAAGAACTTTCCGTTCCTCTGGTCTGTCCCCTCCACTCTAAGATGACTGAGTAGGACCAGTGGTCTCTAAGACCTCTAAATCATTCCCAAACCTGTTAAAATAGAAAAAACTTTACAGAGCAGAAATCAAAGTGTACATGAGAAGGCGAAGGTAGCCCATGTGGCTGAGTTCTGGGCTGGCTACTGGGCGTGCTGTTACACACATTCTCTTCTGTTCCTAGATGTATGACTACAATGCACTTTTTTTTGGATCAAGATGCTAAAAATCACCCAAAATTAATTATACAATCCCCGAGTTAAGTAGGCCCTGAGGAGTAACACAGCTGTTCCGCACGCAGCCCTAGCTAGGACATCCCCGATGGGCCCCACAGGCACACCACGCCTGCCCCCTCAGCCTCCCCCGCAGGCTGTGGGCCTGACAGGCGGAGGCCTGGGGCAGGGGCTGTGGACGTCCTAATGTCTTGCTCCGTGTCTGTTTCCATCAGTGATGGGAATAGTGATCCTTGGAAGCTCTTTGCTTGCCTGGCATGTAGACAGTGCTCAGGAAATTTCTGCTGAATGAGTGAACAAATTACACAACTTATTGCCAATAAACAAGAAATAATGAGCCAACGTTTCTCAGCCTGTATGAGCATGTCGTTTTCTTAGTCCTGGCAGGAATGAGACAGTAGCATTTTCACCAGAACACCGTCCCAGCCAGGTCTGGGCCCCTTCCCACCCCAACGAACAAGCGCTTCTCACAGCAGAAGAAGAATCAAGATCTAGCTCAGACTTGTGTTAATTTGGGATCACAGGTTGCAAACAGTGGTCTGATTTTGGTAAAGACTTCATGTTTTTAAAAGGGTCTGAGAACAGCATAGTGTAGTAGGAGCACAGCAAGAGCTCAGAGTGTCACTAGACATTTCAATACGACACGGAAGAGGACTGGGCAGCCCCTTCGGACCGCAGGGCCAGGACGTTTTCTGTCTGACTCCATCCCCTCCCACCCCATGTTCCACATGGATGTGAGGCATTTTCCCAGGATATGTATGACAGAATAGAGAAAAAATGAAATGAAAACAGGGTCCAAGGACATTGGTAGTTGGTAGGACAGGGAGAAGAGACTGAGAAGAGTAAGAACTTGGTTTTCAGCCTAAAGCTGCCCTGTCGGGTGAGGTAGCCACAGGCCATGTGGGGCTGCCGAGCACTTGAATTGTGGCTGCTCCAAGTGAGATGCCCTGTGAGTGTAAAATACACTCAGTTTCGAAACAGTACTAAAAAAATGCAAAAAATATCAATGATTTTTGTGTTATTTACCTAGTGAAATAATTCTTTTATTATTTTAGATATTATATCTAAATAATATTACTTATTTATTATAGATAATATCTATAGATAATAACTTACATAATATTTTAGACATATTAGGTTTAAACAAAATAACATTATTAAATGAATCCCACATGTTTCTTTTCACTTCTTTAATGTGGCTACTAAAAAATGCAAACTTAACCTGCTGTTTGCCTTCTATTTCTATTGGATAGCGATGGGCTAAAGGGTCTTGTCTGTTGATTGTAATCGGGCTACAAGTTTGGCTGAACTTCCCAATTAAAAAGGGAATCCGGTCAGTCATAAAATTCAAATGGCTCACAAGGAAAAAAACCCTCACCTGTTCTTCAGGAGAGAGGAAGCCTTTCTTCACATCTCTTTTGTATTTAAATGTCAAATGAGCATCCTGGGGTAGGTCCTAGGGTGGGACACAGCGCAGCATGAACAATCCCCGTGAGGATCCCCTCTCAGTGGAGAAAGTCGGCTGCGCGGAGAGGCGCGGAGAGATCCTTAGACCCCACCTTGAGGCTGAGCCTGGGAATAATGCCAGGATGGCTTGGGGGAGGTCATTCTAGGCAGTTCTCATGTTAGAAGCCTCCATCATGTGCTCTTGGATGGAGCCGGGTTAAAAACATGTGCATTTCAGATTCTTTCACTAATTCTCTCTCAAGATTTTTTTCTGACTGACCAGGGCTTTGAGAACAGCCTTTGTGGGTAGCCTCTCCAGCAAGAGCAGCGTCTCTAGACAGCTATTCAGAGGGCAGGGAAGATGGAAGGAAGGGCTTTGCAACCTCAGAATTCCTCATGGAAGCCTGGCATCCCTCACCTGAAAGATGGGGCCACGCACCCCTACCTGTCATCTCAAGGATTACATGTATGCATGTACTGTGCTTGGCTGGGGTCTGGCATGCACTAAGTGCCCCAGCAGTAGTGAATAAAATAAGATGGCAAATATTGGCATTGACGTTTGTTGGGAGATTTTCAAAAGATCCTGTGTCTGAGATTCAGAGGATATTTACCCATCAGGCACAAACAAAGCTATGCGTGTGAGTCCTGACATGGGTGGGACACATTTGTGCAGGATTCCCCTAGTCTGGGACATGAACTCTTGCTCTTGTTGGCTTCATAGAGACAGCCAAAGCTTTGAATTTGTAAGGATGACATAGGCTTACCTTGGGCTTTCCAACAAATGTGGTCTTGACAAAATTTACACAAATCCCAGTTTTTTTGTGTGTGAATTGAATCACTTAAAAATATCTGTGGAGTCCCTAACTAAATAAATAAAATTCTAACTACAATGCCGAAGGACTGGGTCGTCCAGCCCTCACCCAACAAGAGAACACCTGCCTTGTGCTTCAGGCCGGCCACAGTGGCTTCATTCTGGGACTCGGTCTGGGGAGTGGTGGGCATGCGCCCACTTACCAGGCAGTGGGGAAAGCTGGGACTGCTTGAGCTCCCCTCCCAGAGATCTCCGGGCTGTGTCTGTGAATGCGCTGCGCTTTGCCTCCGTGCGCCCCACTCTTGGGCTCAGGCTCACATGACAGTCTCTTAAAGATATTTGACCAAAAAAATGCTAAGAAAAACCCCCAAAGCCAGACCTCTCAAAAGCAGTTTCATGCTTACTCACTGTGTGGAGTCACGGCTGACACCTGCTCATCTGCATGGCTTTACTGACTCCTCCCAAGTGTCATCCTCCCAACATCTTCATCTACAATTATGCCCATTTGGGAAATCTGTGTTCTTCATAGTCTTCCTTCTGCCCTAAAAGATCTTCTTTTCACACAAAGTCTACTCAAACCACACGTCTCAGGGGATGACCTTGTAAAACGGGTCACGCCTTGCTCTCACGTAAGGCTTTTTTTCCTTGGCATCTTAACTAAAATATATGTCACCTTTAAGATCTGTCCTCCCAAGAGACTGGGTTTCCAGAAAACCATCAAAGTTGGAAGGGAAATCTTTATATGTAAATCGAGAATGGGTACATCAGGCCTGAGGACAAAGCGCATATAAACTAGAGAGTTTTCCTCAGTTCTTCCCAGCAAAGTGTAACAGCCCCTGAGGGCCTTTTCAGAGAGTAGAATAGAGAAGAGAAGGGACAACCAGAATCACAGAGTCTGCTAAACGTTCATGCCCATTCTTGGGTCCGAGGGGGTCCTACCCCCTCAGAGCATGTGCCATGTGCCCACTGTTCATTTGCTTGTGTGTGTCCTCCACTAGTAGGCTGGTTCCGTGAGAGCAGGAACCACTTTTGACTTAGTCACCACTGTAGTTTTAGGATGTATACAGTACCTTACAGATGACAGGTGCTCAATGAAAAAATACATTTCCGTCCAATAAGATGCTCTCAGAAGTTCCTATTTCCTACACATATATGTCTTTTGGCTTCTCATAGACTTTGAGGATTGGAAGGGTCAAGTAGTACAAACCTCTGCCATCAGACAGGACCTCCAAAAGATTGTCCTTGGCCTAATGCTATTTTGTATCTCCTTGCAGAGCCTTATCCCTAATCTGTCTGACGACTACAACTATGGCTCCATGCCTTCCACGGATGACTACCTGAACTTCAACTTCACTGAACTCTTCTGTAGGAAGAACAATGTCAGGCAGTTTGCGAGCCACTTCCTGCCACCCTTGTACTGGCTTGTGTTCATTGTGGGTGCTGTGGGCAACAGCCTGGTCATCCTTGTCTACTGGTACTGTACCAGAGTGAAGACCATGACCGACATGTTCCTTCTGAATCTGGCAATTGCTGACCTTCTCTTTCTTGTCACTCTTCCCTTCTGGGCCATTGCCGCTGCTGACCAATGGAAATTCCAGACCTTCATGTGCAAAGTGGTCAACAGCATGTACAAGATGAACTTCTACAGCTGTATGCTGCTGATCATGTGCATCAGTGTGGACAGGTACATCGCCATTGCTCAGGCCACGAAAGCACAGACCTGGAGGCAGAAAAGACTTCTGTACAGCAAAATGGTTTGCTTCATTGTCTGGGCACTGGCACTCACACTCTGCATCCCAGAAATCCTGTACAGTCAAATCAAGGAGAAATCTGACGCCACCATCTGCACCATGGTGTACCCTAGTGATGAGAGTACCAAACTGAAGTCGGCAGTCTTGACCCTGAAGGTCATCCTGGGGTTCTTCCTTCCCTTTGTGGTCATGGCTTGCTGCTACACCATCGTCATTCATACTCTGATACAAGCCAAGAAGTCGTCCAAGCACAAGGCCTTGAAGGTGACCACCACGGTCCTTACTGTCTTTGTCTTATCTCAGTTCCCCTACAACTGTGTTCTCTTGGTGCAGACCACTGATGCCTACTCCCCGTTCATTTCCAGCTGTGCCATTTCCACCAACATTGACATCTGCCTCCAGGTCACTCAAACTATTGCCTTTTTCCACAGTTGCCTGAACCCTGTTCTCTACGTTTTTGTGGGTGAGAGATTCCGTCGGGATCTTGTGAAAACCCTGAAGAACTTGGGCTGCATCAGCCAGGCTCAGTGGGTCTCCTTCACAAGGAGAGAGGGAAGCCTGAAGCTGTCATCTACATTGCTGGATACAACCTCAGGAGCTCTCTCCTTCTGAGGGACCTTCTCTCAGAGGTGATTGGTTCTTTGAAAGTAACAAGAAATATAGTTTCTTGTTACTGATGAGACTGAGGAAACCAAAGAAGAAAAAGGAAGTGAGGGGGAAATCAAAACTCAGAAAGGGACAAATCTGAACATTATTACTTTTACTCAAAACTTGCCAAGCCAGAGTTCTCAAAATTGACTTGCCATCCCAGGAGACTGTTGATGGGCTTTTAGCAGAAATAGTTGCAATTTTCAAAGGAGGACTAAGAAAGAGCACTTCAGACCACCCTGGCTTTGCCTCTAGCCCAGCATGAACGCAGCCACCCCTGGAGCAGGTATTTGATTTTTTCAGGCCACTGTAAATTGCTGTGCCTTTAGTTCTGAGGCCACCCCTTCCAGAGGGGCACACAGAATCATAGTCCACAGAAGCACAGTTTCATGAAAACTTCCATCTTTGCAGATTCCTACCCTGGTTTTTTGGCCTGATACTCATACCAGGTCTTATGGATTCTTGATCTAGAATCTTTCCAAACCACTTCAGATCTAATTCTCTTCTGATCTCTTTGATCTGTTCTGGGCCAGTGAGGGTCCTTATTCTTGTTTTCAGGAACAAAACGTATTTGCAGGACAGGTCAGTGAGTCCCAGGCCATACCAGCAAGTCATCCAGGTTCTGTTGGCTTCCAACCCACTTCTATGTCCTGCTGGAGGTTCTGAGTCAGCACCTGGCCGCGGGTGGATCTGGGTAAGGATTCCGTTGGTCCGCTGGCATCGTGGAGTCGGTGCTCTCAGCCTGTGCGGGGAAGCAGCTGAGCCGGCAGAACCACCCCCGGCTCCATCAGGGTCTTGTTCTGCAGTAGCTTTCATCACAGTGAGCTCTGTCTGCTCCCTGTAAAATGGGTGGGTCCTATCGGCCTTCTTGTTTCTGAGGTCACCGGAAGGATATTTGCCTCCATGCTTCTCCTTTTCTCACTGTTTAGTGCTAACATGTTAAAAAGGCTTCATTAGGCTGAAAAAAATGTAATATAATTTGCTTTTGCATTCTGTCTTTTAACTAGTTGACACATTTGTCTATTTGAAAACATTTTATATATTGGAAAAGTACTTCTGAATGACCATTTAAAAATATCCATTATCGGTCACTTTCTTTGCTATCTCCATATTTTAAATGTGTGCAAGTAAGATCAAATTGTCAGGTTTGAGTATGAATCATAGGAGACTGGGATAAGAAATAAAACCTTAAAACCATCTTGGCTGACCAGTTTTTAATCTCTCTTCTGGTCAAACTTGTTTCCCAAGTTTTTCCCAGTTAGTTCGGTGGAACTTCCAAGGAGTTCTATTAGAGCATTACCAGAAGCCACCCAGCTTTGCCACGTGCTTTGGAGGAAGCATTTGATTTTCCCACCATGTTATGAATTTCCGTGGATTCAGTTCCAAGTCATTGTTTCCAAAGGGGACACAAAAGGACTGGACTATGCCACATTATCCTCCTCCCTGCACACTTCTAATGTGTCAGTGAGGAACAAAGTGAGCAGAAAACAGGCAGCAACAGGGAGAGGAGGGGCTGCCACAGGGCCGCCCCCACACTTCCCACATGAGCGCGGTGGTGCATAGGCATTGGCGTGGGGCCAGCACAGCACATGCCCCCCAGTACAAGCACAGATTATGGTCAAGGGGAGGATGACTTCCCCAAAGCCTGTCTATGGACAGAGCCATCCATATGGCTACCGCCTCCGGGAGAACCACGTATCTTCTGAGGAACTTGAAAGAATAAGCAATAAGCATGGGCCAAATCTGAATAAGACTGTGCAGTTAGGTTAAAGGGGCACAGCTGAGTCTGACATCTCCATTCGCACCCTTTTGATACTGTGGTTCTGATACTGTATGCCATGGGGGTCCCAGTGGAGCGGAGAGTTACTCAAGGAGCACGATGGTGGAGACTGAGTGGGAGATCAGAGGGAAATAAGACTTTGTCCAATTCACATTAGTTGTGAAAAAAAAAAAATTGCCAGGGGCTCCACCATTCCCCGCTCTGATTATTAAGAAAGGAGATGTAGGAACACCAGGAGAACTACAAAACCTGCATTGCACCCTAACTCACAGTGATCACACCCACTTCTGAGGACTTCCTTCAGGACCTGAGTGGCACTGTTGGGCTATCCTGGTTCTAGCACAGCTTCAGAGTAAAGGCATCCTGCAACTGTATTATATTTTAAAGATTTTAAGTATCCTTTGTTGGCAAATTGCCTTAGTATTTTTTAAATAATTTAATTGAAGTACAGTTGACACACAGTATTAGTTTCAGGTGTAAAACAGTGATATGACATTTATATGCATTGCATAATGCTACCACATTAAGTGTAGTAACCATCTGTCACGAAACAAATATTGTGATATATTCCCTATGCTATACTTTTCATCCTATCTTAGTTTTTAAATGATTACATAAATAGGACCATTTGACACTGAAATTAAATTAGGTTTTAGTAGCAAATTTATCCTAAGATAAGAACACTGGAAGAGTCAATAGGAGGAAATCCATGAGGAAGTAGTGATCCCCTCGACATTTCTAGAAAATATGCTGTGTGAGTACTTTTAGAAATAGTGATAAAAGGTTATAATATATAATCATATTTTATTGGAACTCTATAAGTCAGAAAAATCACGAAACAGAATGAAATATGATGATTTTCATTATCAAAAAAGAAATGGGATTTTTTTTTTACTAAAATTTTTTAAAAATGAATTTTAAGCCAACATACCACAATATGTATATTTAAATGGAGATTGTTGTTTTGAAGTAGCCATCTTGGACAACTAGAGACTTGTGCTTTATGGGCTTTCAGGCCTGCAGAATACCATTCATTCAGCAAATATTTGTGTATATACTGTGAGCCACGCAGTGCATACCCATTTCTATTCACTGAGGTTCTAATGGGACACAATATTCCTTCCTCTCAAGATGCTTGCATTCTAGAAATATGGTCAAGTGCCACATGGAATCAGATATGCAAGGATGGAATGGAAAGCTCTTTCAGGTGACACCCCTGGGCTGAGAATTGCAAGGCATCTTTCTATGGCTTATAAACTGGTTTGCAGACAGTCCCCAGGACAAGCTGCACATGGCAGCCTTTAGGGTGAGTCCTTGGACAAGCAGCTAAGTGTGTGCTCTTGATCTGCTGTGTGTGTGAAATTCATTGACTCTGACCCCCACATTGTATGTAGTAGATGCAATATGTTGAACCAATAAACTTGTTAAAATTTTAAATTAGTCGTATCTCAGACTTGTACCTCACGTGTCAGAAATCAGCTGCCAGAAAACTTTGAAAAAAATAAAGATCGGCAATATCAAGCAATTTTTGCTCAATATTTATTGAGCAACATACACTAAGGATGTTTTGTCCTTAGGGCACTCTGATGGGCACCGTCTGCTCCAGAGCTTCCTGCTAGGCTGGCCAAGGTTTGTCAGGCTCGCATTGCAGTTCATCTCCCTCCACCCAGTCCTGCTGCCTCTCACTTCCCTTTATGGGTATTTATCCCTAATAAACATCTTAAGTCAACCATCAGAGGTCATGAGAGGTCACGAGCACCAACTGCAGGCCCTGGTGTGCAGGACGGACACAGTCTCCCTTCCGGGCCTTTCAGCCACTGCCCCCTGATTGTTTACTCTGTGCCAGCTAGATGCTGTAATTACCCGTTTAGTAACTGGCAAGGCTAGTTCATGGACCTGGGTGTGCCTGTCCCTCAAGCTTTGGCTTTGCACATGATGCCATCCTACCTTGCTTGCCATAGCCAGTCAAGCCAGCCGCTGCTCTGGAGGGCTGACCAACAATGGGTGAGAGCTGGGGGATGCACAGACAGACAGGCGTTCCCTCAGATACTTCTGCATGCAAACTCTAAATGGTGACACATGGCAGCTGAGGCCACGCTGATCCCTCCTTCAAAGTAGTCTCTGAAGTTGTACTAGCAAAGGACGTGCAGTATCAAGAAGTTTCCCACTTGTTCCCTCTCCTGGGGTCCCCCCATATACATAGAGCTGTGGGGCCTGAAGCCCTTTGTGAAGGAGCCATAGCCTCCGCTGCTGGCCTGTGTGTGTGTGGGGGGGGGGGTCCAGGGAAGCTGCACCTGAGCCCGGGCAGACTCCTGGCCCCCAGAGCACACCTGGCTGTGGCTCTCCTTCTCCCCACCCTGTCCTCTGTCTGTCTCCTCTAGCTCCTTATGAACAGACCTGCCGCCCTCCAGCTGAAGACCCCTAAGTGGTCTCCACCAATATGGCACGGGACAGAAAACTCATCAAACTGCTCAAACTCCAGACGCATAAAATCATGAGACGTAACACAGTGGTTATGGTTTTACGCCACTGAGTTTTGGGGTAATTTGTTTTGTGATTTTTTTTTATGTGATGTTCTCTTTTTGGCTCATTCATAATTCAGTGAAAGAAGGGGTTTTACAGACTTGCCTATACTCCAGTCCAGTGTGCCCCAGTTACTGCTGCCACAAAACTTAGTGGTATAAAACAGAATCCATTGCAGTGACCCGATTTTCGGGGTCAGGAAGTTGGAATGGGCTTGGTTGGACCTCTCCAGCTCTGGGTCTCTCAGGTGGTCGCACTCAGACATTAGCTGGGTGTGGTCATCTGAAGCTTGACTGGGAGGCTCAGGCCATGAGGCTGGCAGTTGATGCCAGCTGCCAAGTAGGGCACCAGCACATGGCCTCTTCAGTGTGGGGGGTCAGGGCACCCCGGCTTCTGCCACAGCAAGGGGTTTTTCCAGAAGAAGGGTCTGAGAGAACTGGGGAAAGGTGTGTGTCTTCTTCTGACCTGGCACCAGAAGTCACATAGTGTCACTTTGGCTGTTTCCCACTGGTCAGAGCAGTGTCAGGCTGGCCCTGAGTCAAAGGAATCAGCCAAGACCCCACCTCTTATGGGAAGAGTGTCAGATAACTTTGGGGTCATGGTTTAAAATCACCACTCTGTGACCTGTCAGTTAGTTCATCTTTCAATGACTCCAATCACTCAATCCCCCAACCGCCTAGCTGAGTAATACCCAGAGAGAAAAGGGCCAAGGAGAGAAAAGCCTATGTAGACAACTTTCTTAATAATAGCAGCCATTAGCATTTTTGAGTGACTCTTTATGGAAACCACTATGAAAGGCCCTTATGATCTTATGCGGTCTTCATGGCATCCTTATGAAGTAGCTAATGCGATAGCCCTCATTTAACAAATGGAGAAACTAAGGCACTGAGGGGGGCTCAGTCACCTGCCACAAGCCATAGCTCGTAGGTAATGGCACCAGCAATTCATATGCGTGTCTTTCTGATAATAGAATCTGACCTCCTAAACGCTCTGTTATGCTTTCTCCCAGTTGGAATTCAAGCTCTTTTTTTCCAGTGGTCCATTCCCACCGCGGAGACTGCACAGCTCAGAGGTCCTGCGTCAGGAGGGTGGGGTGGGCCGAGGTGGGCCAGTCCCTGGGCGGTCAGGCAGGGCCCTGGTCAGACTGTGGCCTCCTCCTAGGCCCTCCCTCCCAGGTTTCAGGCTGTGGTTTCGGGCTGTCATGCTTACTGCCGAGTAGTTGACCTCTTTGGTGACTGTAGGTAGATATGAACAACTTTGTTATAACTCAAGCTTGTAGGAATTGGGCTTTTGGTTGTTTACCGGGAGGCCGAGATAGCCATACCCTGAGGGGAATTTGTTCTTTTTAGAAATTAGTTTTGAAATTTAAAAAGTTGAACTGCCGTGTAAAAATAATTGTATGGTATAGAAGGGTACCAAGAGAAAAGTAAAAGTTTGCCACCCCTGCCGCCATGTCCGGAGCCTGACGGGCCGCGCCAGCCCCGCTGCAGCGCACGCGCCTGGGAACGTGTGGTCACCCGCGCTCCACCGCAGCGCCCTCTAGTGTGCAGCTGTGTGCTTCCTCAGCCAGGCCCCCGGACGCGTTCTTTCCTACTTCTGCGGTCACAAGCCACGTGCCCATGAAAAGTCTTGTGCATCTTTGTGTACATGGATGGTGTATCTGGAGCAGAAGGCAGGATGAGAATTGGGGCAAAGGGGAAAGTTCAAGAAGGGAGGATCCTCTGACTCTGGTACAATGATTGCAAAAATGATCCTCATTCTCCAACCCCCTTCCCCATCTCTTTACAAAGTTACCTTGCAGTTCCTCCCATCAAGAGGAATCCCTTTTCCCACATCTCAGATCTGGGCTGGCCTTGTGACCTGCTCCGGTCGGTAGAATACGGGCAAAGTGGTACTGAGCTGTTGTGAGGCTCGGCCTCACAAGGCCATGTACTTCCATTTGCTCCCTTGGAAACCTGCCCAGCAGTTATCTGACCAAGGCTGGCCATCCTGCCGGAGAATGGCAGACCGTGTGGAGCAGAGCACAGTCATCTGGCTGAGATCAACCAACAGCCAGACAACTCTAGGCCTTGTGAGAGTACAGCCAAGGTCAGTGGAATCACCTAGAAGACGTGCAGCTGACCAAGGACAGACATACCAGTGAGCCCGTGGCGAGTAAGCCCAGAAGAACCCCGCAGTCAACTTGAAGATCTGTGAGCTAAGTAAATGCTTAGTGTTTATGTTCTTGGTTTTGAAGTGGTTGTGCAGTGTTAGTGTGACTATACATAATGGATATAGCCTTTTGTATGAAGGGTGATACAAAGTAAGGTTTCAAGGTCAAGAGCTCTCATAGAAAATTCTGGTTTATTAAAGTTTTTTTTTAGTCATCAGATAATCTATGTTCCAGTGAAATGAGAATGGTTTAGGGGAAAGCTACTCCTGCAGCCGTCTTAGTATCGTGCAGCAGTAGTAACATTCTCTAGGTAAATGGAATCATGTCATGCCAGAGGACTTGTTTAGCAATATCTTCCTCTCCAAGAATGAAATCTCATCACTGTTCCAGTGTGTAAGGCAGTAGGTTGAGGTAGAAGTCTGGTTCTAAGATGTAAGGGTCACTGGTAGAGTTAAATTAGGAGGCAGATGCATTAGCTCCTTTTACCCCTTTCCTCAAGTTCTAACAAAGAGGTAATACAGTGGCAATCATCCAAGACCTTCTCGGTGTGGTCCACGGATCACCTCCATCAGCATCACCTGGCAGATGTGTGAATGGACCAGATCTTGTGAACAGAGCTGATATGGGCAGTGCCCGTGACTCTGCATTTTAATAGGGTACCAGGCAACCAAAGAGGTTTTCTTGTTTCTTTTTCTAAGAAACTCTTGAACACTTGCTTTGTATTTACTGACACTTAAAAAGTCAACACCTTGACTCTGGAGCAAAACTGAGTCCTGTGTGAGTCTTGGGCTTTTCCCGATAGCTTGGCATCTGAACCCTTAACTGAGGAGGCGGTAGGCCAGACCCGGGACTGACGCTGCTTCCCCAGCCCTCTTCCCCAGGGTCATCCTGGGGGACATGCATGTGTGATCCTCTTTCTGGGAACACCCAAAAGTTCTGTGGGAGTCCTTTACAAAAATGTTTGGTCCCACACTGGATCTGTCTTCTGTGCAAAGCCCTCCCCAGGGCCTTTCTGTGAGAACACGTGAGGCCTTGGAGCTCAGCTTCAGAGACAGGGACAGACTGCATCATTTATTCCATGTCTGCGGCCACTGCCGTTGGTGTCTGTCTGGTAAGTGGTCCAGGTCCTACTTCCACTAAGTATTGCCTCTACTGGATGTAGTAGTTGCTCTGGCCACAGCACTGGTGCCACGACCCCACTGTACCTTTCTTCCAATGAGGAAGGCAACCTGTTAACCCAGCCCCCCATCCAGCCCTCCTCAGACCCTCTGGGAAGCCCCTGCATTATCCCTTTACCCCCGGACCCACTCTCACCTGCTTTCCTTTCTCATGCCAGAAGACAGTGCCTGCCCCACTGACCTGGCAGACAGGTGTTTAGGCCTTCCAGGAGGGATTCTTTCTCCCCTTTGTGGCTTAGCCAGAGCCTTGTTGGGAGTGAAAGCCAGGGAGGCCCTCCTGAAACATCTTTTCTTTGAGGATTCTATGTAGCCACAGGCCCAAAGCCAAACTGGCCTGGAAATGAGGCTTTCCTTTTGGTAAGGATGCTCACAACTATCACGTCCATCGACACCTGTCTCACTTGGTGAGTTTTTTTTTTATGTCAGAAGATGATTCATTCCAGGCTACAGATGGAGCTGCCAACTCTGATATAACCTCAGCACAAACGTGCCACAAGGTGTGAGGAAACCACACCAGCCTCTGTCCTCCCACAGAGCTTGGAGGATCGGGGAGGGACAAGGGGACACACATCAAAGCCCAGGGG